TTACGATCAGTCCTCGCACTTACGACCCGACTCATTTGTTTGCTTTTAACACTGATCAGCTTTAGGACGGCCCTTTGAAGCCCCACGGCAAGAGTTTAAACAGTTTTTTCACCTCTAGTCATCAGCTGGGACTCAGGAGGCAGCAATAGATTGGGGGTGGGACCAAATAAAAGGTAAGAATAACGTGGGGGGGTGGGAGGGCGGGCGGGGGGGAGAACTGGTTTGGTGATGTCATATCGTCACCGCTACCGGCTCGGCTGAACCGGACCGAACCGGAAGGAACCCACCACTGGACTATCCCTATATGCTTGTTGCATATTTGGATGGTTTATTTTACTTTTGAAAGTTGTAAAATTGAGGAAGAAACAGATCACACAACTCCATATTCTTGGTAAAGAAACGGTTGGAGCAAAATTGCCCTTCTACACTTGTTCTCTCCAAGGCTGGCCCTGATGGTGAGCAAGATGGGGCACTTGCTTCCGGTGACAACAAGATGCATGATAAAGTAATTGCATACACCCTGAAAAATAGCCTGTTTCCAGTAGTGGGATTCAAATCCCATCGCTACCGGTTTGCTTGTGAGCATGTGCGTGTATGACACTTCTGCGCATGCGCAGAAGTTTCTGTGCATGAGCAGAGACGTCCAGGCGGATGGCCGGAATCTGCTGCTACCGGTTTGCCTGATCTGGGGCGAACTGGTAGCAATCCACCACTGCCTGCTTTCTTCAGATTTAATAGATGATGTATGCTATTGGAATTAGTAGACATATAGAAGATGCCATGCTATTTTTCTATTCAGACAGCACAAAGTCACAAGGCTGCCTCTTTATCTTTCTTCTCTGTTAAAGAAGCAGCAAGCAAACAACAAAAAGAAAAGAAATCTCCCATATATGGGAGATTTAAGTAAGTCAGCAAAAAGGATAGTCACTGACTCCTTGGAAATTTGGTGGCAAGTAGTCCACAGTGAACCACAATTGCAACGACATATAGGTTGCTAATGATGGCATCAAAATGTGAAAAATACTAAGAGTACTAAGTACTAAGAGAAGTTATGAATATTTCAGAACTCACAACTGTATCTAAAACTAAATACAATAGAGACCCAATTGTGCAGGAAGCAGTTGTGTGAAATGGCAGGTCTTGGCAGTTCAGTTGAGTGCAAATAGAGAGAAGGGTTTTATTGATATGTTGGAAATAGTTTGATACTGATTTTTTTCATGCAAATATTTTTTGTTTCCATAGCTAGAAGGCCATAGTAATGGGTCAATCCATATCACATGACTTCTCTCCTGCCTGGTGCTTGCCTTGGGGATGAAGTGCACAATGCTTTTGTACAGTTCTGCCTATAAATTCATGCACTGGTTGCATTTCTCTTAATTGACATTGACATTGAGATAGGGAAATGTAATCTTAATAAATTAGACAGCCTCATCTGACTACAGAAGTGGACACGGTGTAGAATTACATTGGCTTATGTTTTATACGACGAATCTTTTTTTAAAAAATGTAGGAGAAAAATTTCAGAAGGAAAGAGTCATGGCATCAGCCCAGCAACACATGCTTTTCTGAGCTCTTGCCTTTCAGTTTCATGTTCCTTTATAATGGTATATTTTAATTACCTGGACCCTTTTCAATCAGGATTCAGGCTTGGGAATGGAATGGAAACAGCATTGGTCGCGATTTTGGATGATCTCTGGTGTGGGTGTGATGGTGGATGTGCATCCATTCTTACCTTACTTGACCTCTCAAGCAGTTTTCAGTACCATCGACTATGGCCGTGATGGCAAACCTATGGCACGCGTGTCAAGGGTGGCACGTGGAGCCATATCTGTGGGCATCCGAGTGTTGCCCTAGCTCAGCTCCAGCATGCATGTGTGTGCCGGTGAGCTGATTTTCAGGTCTTCTGGGTCCACCGGAAGTGGGGAAACGGGCTGTTTCCGGCCTCCAGAGGGACTCCAGGGGGGTGGGGAAGGCCGTTTTCTCCCTCCTGAGGCTCCAAGAAAGCCTCTGGAGTCTGGAGAGGGCAAAAAACAGGCCTACCAGGCCCACTGCCCCATCACATGCCAAAAGAAGGGGGGGTATCGTGCATACATGCATGGGGGAATGTGCATTGAATTATGAATGTGGGCACACATGCACACGACCCCCGCTTTTGGCACATGACTGCAAAAAGGTTAGCCATCACTGGACTATGGTATCCTTCTGGATTGACTCAAAAGACTGGGAGAGAGTGGCATGGTGTTTCGCTGATATTCAGGGTTAATTCCAATTGGTGATGATTGGGGAACAAAGTTCCTGCCCTTGACTCCTATATGTGGCGCACTCCAGGGGATGGTGTTCTTTTTTCTCCTATTTAACATTTGCATGAGACACTTGATTTCATCCATTGTCATAGGGGGATATATGATCAATATGCAGATGACATTCAGTTGTACATCTCTGCTCCTGACAAGCTTATTGATGCTGTGGGTTTTATCCCAGTGTCTTGAGGCTGTGAGGGTCTGGATGGGGAACAACAGGCTTCAACTGAATCCTGGCAAGGCTGAGTGGCTTTGGGTTTTGAGACACCTCCCTTCCCTCCCGGGTGATGAAACTGTACCATCTTTGGTGCAGGATGGGATTGCACGGCCCCAAACAGACCTTCTACACAATCTGGGAGTCCTCTTGGAGTCATCACTCCAGTTCAGTGAGCAGGTGGCAGTCTTGACTAGAAGGACCTTTGCACAACTTTGTTTTGTGTGCCAGTTACTCCTTTTTCTGGATCAAAGGTCCCTTAATTCATGCCCTGATAACCTCAGGTTGGATTGCAGCAATGTGCTGCACGTGGGACTGTCCTTGATGAGTAACTGGAAACTTCAGCTGATGCAAAATGTGGTGGCATGAGCAATTATGTGTGTTTCTTTGCGAGCTGCATTGATTACCTGTCTCTTCCAATTCACAGTATTTTATTGACCTTTAAAGCCTTTCATGGTATGGGGCTGGGTTTCGTGAGGATCGCCCATCTTTTCACCTGCCTGTCGCATCAGATCTAGCGGAGGGAGTATGTTACAGATTCTGCCCGCTAGGGGCCCTAGGGCCTTTTCTATGGTGGTGTCCACATTGCAGAATCTACTATGAGGTGACACTGGCCTCATCGCTTTTGAGTTTCACAGTCCCTTAAGACCTGATTATGCCAGCAAGCCTGGGACCCCAGGGGACAGGTGAACATGTGAGGTGGCTCCATTATTAACATCCCTTTGCTGTTATTTCCTTGTTTGTTCTGTTTTTTATAATGTTAACTTTTGTTATAATGTTTTTATAATTAAATTTTTAAATAAAAATTTTAAATGTTTTTATAATGAATAATGATAATTGGTTTTATGTATTTAAAACATATTTTAAATATAGAGATATTCTCTATATTGAGATACCTACAAGGTCCATAACTGCAAATCAGAAAAATCCCCTATGGAATCATCTGTGCAGATCAGTTTGAGTCTAAGTGCCCTTGGTGACGAGGAAGAAAGTTACACATTTGCCCCAAAAGCATTTCCATATCATACCAGCATAAGACTCGTATGGAAACTTACTGACGTATTCCTCAACTATTATAAATAAACCCGCCTTAGTATATTCTGTGCAGAATCATCATAATCCCTTTACTCCACATCCAGGAACACCGAACGAAGCTGCTGCAATGCAAGTATTATTGGATGGTGCCAACTTTGGCACCAGAGAATTGGATTTCCATGAGCAGCCACAGGATTTGTTTGGCAGAGATCCTGCTGACCTTCTCTGGTTCACCATTCCAACATCGTGCTCTTACAACATTGGCTTGCCAAAACCTGCTAATATGACTCTTACCAGATGCTCATGTGATCTCCCTATTAATTTGGAATATTGCAGGCTGGTCAGAACTATTAAAAGACCATCCTTCCTTTGATTACGTATTGTGATTTGATACTTTTTTTTACAGGAAACCTGGGCAGAGGTGCAGTAGACAGTGAATGGGCAAATTCAATCTTGGTTATCACAAGTAAGGTGGGAGGAAAATCCAAGGGAAACATTGCAACCCTAGTTAGTACAGCTTTACAATGGAAATTTGTCCCTCTGCCTTCCTAATCCTAATCCTAACCCTAATACACCTTTCTCCTCCTATTTTCCCTGCAACAACAACACTGGGAGGTAAGTTGGGCTGAGAGAGAGTGACTGGTCCAAAATCACCCATCTGGCTTTCACGCCTAAGGCAAAATTAGAACTACACTCAAAAACTTGAAGTTTTTAGCCTGGTGCCTTAACAACTAAACCAAACTGGCTCTTTGATTTACCTTTCATGTTGTATTATGTAATTTTTTTTGCCATTCATTGCCTAAATAAAGTGCTGCATATAGGAAACTTTCAAACACGTTTCTGTGATATGAAAAGTTGCCTTACATTTCAGGTGCTTTCTTGTTGCTACGTCTAGTTCTTCATTAAGTGGAAAGACAAGATTTATTTATAGTTAGGAAAGATACGAATTTTGGCCTAAGGCCAATCTAACTTGACACGCATAGAGTTAATTAAGTCAGAAGTGACAAATGTGTGAGTTCAATCATGCTGCCTGTTTATAATTGTCATCTACTGTTAGATGACATTTTGTATCTTGTACATGCATTGTTCCTAATACTGGAAAAATATTATGGCAAAATACTATAAGACTCAATCTGATCATCAATTGTTCTTCTCTGTCAAAATATTTCCTACAATATTTTCAATCATTTGATACTGCTTGGAATCCTAAGGCAGAAAAAAGGGATACTAAGTGTCACAACATATTTGCCAACGTGCTAGAGAGGTGGCTGGCCAAGGATGCACTGTCTTATGAACATTGGTTTGGAAATGCAGTGGAAGATGAGATGCTCCCTTTGCCATATTGAGTCATATTGGCAAGAGATGCTCATAAATACTCATCTTATTTCATGGTTATACCATTTGTTATGGCACAGCAAAATCTTCTGTTAAATCTAGACTATTCTTTGCAGTACTTAGGGGAGGACCACTTCCTGGGATTTACAGGCTCCGTCAGCTTCACATCCACTGGGGTTCTACCAGTGACAAAGGCTCAGAGCATGTGGTGGATGCAAAAAGGCATGCAGGAGAGGTGAGTAGGTCCTGTAAGAAACACTGGAAGATCTCCCCTTGCCAGAGGGGAGAAAACCAGGTGCACATAGTCTAATAAAGGCTTAGATGAGGATATCTATGTAACCAGGATACATACTGGTTGATGCATCATTTTTCTTTTTTAAAATGAAAATGGAAATTGACTGGGCATATTTAGGAACACAGGTGCTAATTATATATATGCATGTAGATGCATATTCATTTATTCATAAAAGTTGTCCTGGCTCAGAATATGTAACTTGTAAAATGTCTATTATATACTATACACTTGTTTGCCAGTCATTACAAATTGATACGTTGAAAGCACCACTTATAGCATGGGTGTCAAACTCGCCATGTCATGTTGCCGCCGCATGATGTTTCGTGACGTTTTTCCCCTTTGCGGAGCTGGGGTGGGCGTGGCCTGCATGTGACGTATCCGGCCTGTGGGCCGCCAGTTTGACACCCCTGACTTATAGAAATTTTTATAGTATTTTGATCTTATCCTGAAAATAATTAAACCATGGGTGTTCAATATATTTTACATGCTTCCAAAGGTGTGTGATGACTCTTCATAACTTCACATCTGCTTGGCCACTACTCATATTGTCTGAGAATAAGTATTATAGTCTGGAGGATGCTCAGTTGGAGAAAAATAGTAGTATGAAAACCATTTGATGTAAATTTGGCAATGTTGTGAAATCTTACCTTTTGACCCTTTCGTTTTAAACATTTTTCTAAAAGAACAAAAATACTTAGATAATGCTTAACACTGCTTGCATGTTTCTGATTTTTAATATTTTTAAAATGTTTAAATTTTTACCTGGTAGTGAGAGTCAGATGGCTATTGGGAAATGAAGAGAATTTTATGAATGTCACCATAACGTTCTTTGATATCTAACTATAATGTTTTCCTTGTTTTTAGATTCATTTGGTACACTGGAATTCCTCCTATAGTAATTATGCTGATGCTTTGAGAAAAACTGATGGCGTGGCTACCATAGCCATTCTAATGGAAGTAAGTTCTGATTGCTATTTTCTTAGGCATATTTTCACGATAATCTTCAGCTGTGGCTCCAAAGATTGCATCTGTTTTGGACAATGATGCTTTCTGTTTCTTCTCCATCTATCACATCATCCTTTTTGTGCTACTAGGGACCTTAACATACAGAATGCTGACACCTACCCTCTATCTTCCTCTACTCTCCTATCATATGCTACACTAATGGACTGAGTGTACTGTCTTATCTTTCTAATTTCTAATTAAGCTTGAGGAAAAAGTCCACCATAGTATTCAGAGTTTTCTTCTAATACATGGAATACTGTGTGAAGATTCTTTTCCAAGGAAGGGACACATCACAAATGTATAGAGTGCTTTGTGGCAGCCAACACCTTTCCCAATAACAGGTTTGTTAATCTGGGTTAACTCCAGTTTTCTTGGCTTTGCAAGGTGATGTCACCACATAAATGTGTCTTTAACACTAAGTCCTTTATATTCAGTCCTGTTAATATTTAATTGGAATAGAAGTCTGTAAAGTGGCATACAATATTTGTCTTTTGTAGTAGTGATGAGATGAGATGTTGCCTCGGTGTGGATGCTCCTTTTCAAGTTGCTGCTGAGCTCCAGGCCAAGTTCCAAGTTCTGCTCTTAAAGCATTACTGTTTTTGAGCACTCTAGCTGAACTCCCAAGCCATGTTCCTGGAATCCCATAAGGATATGCTGCTTATCATAGTTTGTGGTTCTGGCAGTTGAATGTTAGCCTTTTGGCCTGCCTGTGACAGCTGTCAGTCTTCAGACATCACTTTCCACTCCCTCACCTGCTTGCTGTTTTCCTATCTCCTTTTCTCTTTTATATCCACATTCTTAGAATTTGGTAAACTAAGAATTTGGGTGTTGAAGCTGTCTCTTGAACTCTTGAAAATGCCATGGTATGGCTCAAGTATTACAGGCAGCTGAAACACTAGTATGGATGTTTGTGAATAAAGTTGTGAGTTAATGACTAAAGAGCGCTTCTTGCAACATTGTTTGTTAGGTTCTAACTTGCAGCTGGTGAAATGGATTGCCAGATTTGCTGTAAAATTGTTGGAAAAAAGGACAAAGTTGGTGCAGCAGAATGTGGTAGATTGCAGGAAAGATCATTTGATTTAATAATATAATTCTAATAGTAGTTTTAAGACTGATTGGGTAGATGCAGGGGTGACATTGTAATATAATTTTAATCATATTTAATTTGTATCTCAAATTATTGTATTCTATTCTGATTTCATTCTAGATCGAATTTTACTCTAATTTCATTTTAAATCGTGTTTTATTCCTATTCCAATTTCATTTTAAATGGTTTCTATCCAATTTTTGCAATAATTGTTTCTGGAGTGCTGCACTTTGATATGGCCCAAGGGCTAATCAATAAATAAAGATTGATACTAGATTGAGTGTATGATTGAGTGTATGAGGGAAAAGGAGCGAGAAGCATTTGTGTCTGGCTGTGGCTAGTTGTTTCAACTTAATCATTTCTCAGCCTTTTGGCTAAGATCAACTGTAGCATTTTAATTCCACCCCCTCATTAATTATAATTATCATCACACTAATAATTACAATTCATTATTGTTATATATACCACTAAAACACAATTATAGTCATGCTGCTATATTTACATGTTGAGAAGTCTTGTAACTTTTTCTTTGAATGAAAACTTGACGGAACGGAATTAAATTACTAACTGGATAGGGATAGATTGTTTTGCATTATACTGCATTATACACCTAGAACTGCACATCTGTCTCAAATCTCAGAAATTTTCTTTCACCTATATCTCTTACTCTCCTCTTCTTCTAGAATTATTTATTTATTTTAATTCAATAGTATTTGTAGGTTCTTTCATTCCATATACACTGTTCGGGCTGTTTAATGGTTGAACTCAATTAAAAAATAATAATCTTTAGTAATATTCTGCTATAATGACTATCCAAACAACACTGTAGACTCAAAATTTACTGGAACAGTCCTGCTTTAAGGTCACTTCCTGAAAGGAGAATTGGTATTGTTGAGTTCAGTTGGTGGGGTTATGCACTTTTTTCACGTCTTTGTACTAGATGTGACTTATTGTTTTATAAATAGTGGAAACGGTTTATCAACTGTATTCAGTTTTGTTACAATTTAAGGCAACAATACATATATACTATTATTAATAATTAACATTTGTACTTTAGAAACATGATACAAAATTCATACTTGATACAGGACCCCACCAATTGAACTTAACAACACCAATATTTGGGATTCTGAAGAAAATCTGTACAAAATTTGGTCAGAATGTTTAATACATTAGAGAGGCCTCTTCCAAGCTGGTGACCTCTGCATGTTAAATTTGACATCCCCAGCTAGCATGAAAAAGAGCCACACTGACTGGGGTTTATGGAAATTCATTCAACATATTTGTAAGGCAGCAAGAAAGCTGGTTTAAAACCTAGGAAGTTGGCTTGGATACTATTCGGTCAGCTTTTCCTAACCTGATATCATTAAAAAGTGTTGAAGTACATCTCATGGTGAGGGGTTTAGAATGCCGTATTTCAGGCTCACTCTGCTGACTGCCAGCAGTTTGATCCTGATCGGCTCAAGGTTGACTTAGCATTCCATTCTTCCGAGGTTGGTAAAATGAGGACCCAGATTGTTGGAGGCAATATGCTAAGCAGTTTACAAACTGCTTAGAGAGGGCTGTAAACACAGTGAAGAGGTATATAAATCTAAGTGCTATTGCTATCTCTCATTATTCTCAGCCAATATGGCTGAAAATATAAAGAACCGTAATGGATGAAGACAGCAGGACCTGTAGTCAAACACAGTTGGAGAGTACCAATTAGTGAAAGTTCAATTTGTGAATATTTTCAATTATTTTCACTTTCAGCACCACTACCAAAATGTTTCCTAAAGTCCAGAAAGACTCACTGAAATTAAAATCATACTATAGTTGTGCAAAATAGAGCATCATTAAATAACACCAACCAATCAGGCAAATGTTATTCTCTTTTAGTTTTTATACTTAGTATTATTGGTAGGGGTCGTAAGATATTCCACAAATGTTATTAATTAAATGGACATATGGGATAGTTAACAATTAATTCTGTATACTGTTGCAATTTGGGAGATAATCACCTTTCATGGCTGCTCACTTTCTGACTTCTGAATGACAGGTAGGAAAAAACCCTAAGCCAGAAATGAAAAGAATTATTGAAGAAATAGACGCTATTAAAACAAAGGTATGTAAAATAATATTCTAGTTAATACCAAGTTTTCTAACATGGTTAATCTAATATGTTTCAATAAAGGGAGCTAACATACTTAGATAATGCATAAAAAGTATATTATTAACACACGACAAACTACAGTATATTTAATTTGTTGAATAAGGCACAGTTAGTGCCTTATTCAACAAATGCCTTCAGATGTCATACTAAGCCATAAGTCATGCTTATGAAGCTTAATGACTGTATTTACATAACATGCCAAGCAGTACAAAATGAACAACACTATGGTCATGAATGATACATGAATCTTCGCTGTGACAACTAACAACTAGTACTGAGAACTAGCATGAAACATGTGGACAATAGGAACATCTGGATCTTGTAACAAATCTTTTCAAAAAATGAATAGCTGACAACTTCCCATGGGAAGTTTAATGAGAGATGGAACAAATAAGAGATTATTTAAAGGAAGGTTTTCCAGACACAGTAGTCTTGATTCAGAAGTAAACCTTCTCAATTGATTTTGCTCATAAGATTCTCTTTATCGCTTTTAAATTGAAAGTTGGGATTTTTTTTTTTTTTTTTGGTCATACCACCTCAGAAGAAGCAATTTGAACTAATATTTCATTATGGATCCAAATTTCAAACTACTTGGGGCACTTACTAAAATCAATGCAGACTTAATAAAATCAGGATATCTCATGTTAGGTAAATCTGGAATAGCTTTTGACTGATGATAGATGTTAGAAGAAAATGTTTATTAGTTTTAGTATTCTGTGATCTCAACTACACCTTGAGGCTATCTATACAAATGATTATCATCATCCACCCATAATAAATCTTGACTGTAGAGAGCGTTCCTGTCTCTACCACTGAATTTAATTATGTTATTTCTGATTTATTTAAGGGAAAAGAGGCTCCTTTTCTAAACTTTGATCCATCTATCCTCTTTCCTCAAAATCGAAGTTACTATACTTATCAAGGCTCTTTTACAACGCCTCCGTGTGAAGAGTGTGTTACCTGGATTGTTATGAAAGAACCTATAAGTGTTGATGAGCAGCAGGTAAATTAGAAATCTGCACAGTTATTTCTTTTTTGTATATATTTCGTGTAAGTTTAAATGCATCTCATGTGTTCATTAGTAAGTATAATCTTGCTTTACCTTAAATTATATACATGATTCAGGTATATTGTGCTTCTGTATTCATGAGAAATATTGGGCAATTTCTAAAGCAAATGAATCAGAGTGACAAGTGAGGACCTAAGAGCATTTTACAGGTAGTCCTTGAGTTACAACAGTTCATTTAGTGACCATTCAAAGATACAACAGCACTGAAAAAAGACCCTCTGACAAGCAAAGTCAATGGGGAAGCCAGATTCACTTAATAAGTGTGACAAAACAGCTGATGCATTTCATTTAATAACTGTGGCAGGAAACATTGTAAAATGGGGCAAAATTCACTCAACCACTGTCTCACTTAGCAGTAGAAATGTTGGGCTCAATTGTCATAAATCAAGGATTATGTGTATAGCATCATAGAATTGTGGAGTTAGAAGTTAATCCATTCTTCTGCAAGTGGTAAGAAAACCAATTAAACCATCTTGGAGGTGGACACCACTTTTTAAACAAATTTGTGCCTTCAGTAAGTAGACTTATTTCACTGTGGTATGGATCTTAGCATCAGAAAGTAATTTTTTATAATTGTGAAATCTAGGAAGCTACAACTTGTATTCAGTATTTCTGATCCAATTTGTATGGAAAATAATTCCTGATATTTTCTTTTCTATACCATCTTTTTATGTGTACCTGAACACTGATATCATGTCTCCCCTTAATCTTCTTTTTGCCAGATTTAACACATAAGTTCCTTTAGCTCAAGTTACTCTGTCACCTTTGAGGGCCTCAATTTTAATTTGACAATTTCCTTCTGAAAATGCAACATTCAGACTTGTACAGAGAATTCCCAGTGTGGCTTCAGCTTCAGAGGGGTGTAGAATAAGGACTTCATATGTTTCTGAACCCTTTTTATGATGCAGTCCAAAACTACCTTAACTTTTATATCTTTTATATCTACATCAAGGATGTAGAAGACTTTTTTCTCCATCCACCACATCATCCTTTTTGTGCTACTATGGACCTTAACCTACAGAATGCAGACACCTTCCTTTACTCTCCCATCATATGCCACACTAATGGACTGAGTATACTGTCTCAGCTTTCTAATTTCTAATTAAGCTTGAGGAAAAAGTCCATCATAGTATTCAGAGTTTCCTTCTAATACATGGAATACTGTGTGAAGATTCTTTTCCAAGGAAGGGACACACCACAAATGTATACAGTGCTTTTATATCTTTCAAGCAGGGATGTAGAAGAATTCCACTAAGTCTGGCAGGAGTGAACTAGGAGTGATTTGCTCCTAATGGACTTTACAGCACTAAATGAATTCTAGCTAAAACCCTTTTTGTTCAATAAAAAATATCTGCCAAGAGGCAGGGAATTACACTTACTTTGTGTGCTATAAAGAAAATTAGGGGAGGGAATTTTATTTTTCAAGTAAATGGGGTAGAGCAGGGATGTCAAACTCGATTTCATTGAGGGCTGTATCTGGGTTATGTTTGACCTTGGGGAGATGGGATGGGCATAGCCAGGGTGGGCATGGCCAGCTTGACATCACTCCTGTCAGGGGTGCCTGTGGTGGCCTGAGCGCTCTGCCAGCAAAAACAGGCTCTCGAGTTGTGTTTTTGGCTGCCACGGTCTCCTACAACCCTCTGCCAGTAAAAACGGACCTTGGGAGGCTGTTTTCACTGGCACAAGCACACAGGCTGGTCCCTCGCTGTTTCCCCATGGGCCAGATCCCTGTAGGCCAGATCTAGCCCATAAGCCTTCAGTTTGACACCCCTGGGGTAGATTTAAACTCCAAGAGGCTCCATTCTAGTGGTGCTTATCAAAGTGTCCAAAGTGAACACAGGGCTTTAAAACTCACATGGACATTCCAGGAAGTAATGCTACCACAAGGAGATTTGTATCAGCAGATCACAAGTTCCTTTCTTGCAGCAACGGGAGATCACCTGATCAGTGTTACCTTTCTGGCATGCCCATAAGCCCTAGAGGGAAAAACTCTATACTATTTCCATGTTAAAAAAAACAATGGTGCTCTAAGACCCCTCAGCTATCTTATAAACATAAAGTACAACCCTACCTTAAATCAGTACAACAATGTTTTTTTTCAAAATAAGATCTTTTTTTTTTAATGGACTTAATAAAACTTGCATATCTTGAATCTCAAATTTTAATTTAGTCTCATAAAAGTGGTTGGCAATTTTATTATTTCCAACAGATAGAGTTTTTTATTTAGACAATGACACTATTCTTTATCAATTCTATTGGAGAAAGAAGCACTCAGAAGAAGAAAGCATATTCCTGTTTTGTAGTGTCTTGTTTAAACTTTATTTCATTTCTTAATTTCCCATTTCTTAGTTAAACTTTTCCTGGAAATAAAAAATATTAGTGGGCTTTGCTTAGGTTTCTTGGGCCAGGAATCAAACCCTTAATAAGGCCTCACACTCCAGTCCTTATGCTATTTATGTAGAATTAAATGGCTTTAACAGAAGTCACTTCCAAAAAGGGCGAAGTCCAGAGTAATGGGTCATTCATAAATAAAGACTGCTAAACTTGTTTTTCTTGATTTGCAACAATCTAGTAAAAAGTTGGGCAAACAAAGCAGATCTTTATATTATTGCAGGAAGCTCTTTGATCAGTTGTAATAATCAAAATCTGCTTATATGTTATCTTTATTCTTCTAAGACTTTCTAAATGTCGTGAAACAAAATGGGATAAGATATTTAGAGTAGCAATTTGAGAAGCACCTATCAGAGAAATAAAGATAAGAAGTTTATTTGTAATTAGGAATATCTTGATATCCAGGCAATTTCTTACCAAAGCAGAAAGACTTTTATAGATCTCCAGGAAAGGAAAATCAGTTAGCAAGATAGTTATCTAAATTAGGCATAAATTTGTTTCGGTGTTTGGGAAGAATTGCTATTTGAACTGTGATAGGTTCTGAAACCCAGGTAGCTTTCTCTACCTTAGAAGAATATAATCTAGAACAAACCATTAGATAGCTAAAGAATGTTTAAAAATTGAATCAAATACATAAACAACAATTGAATCCAACAAGTAAGAGTTCATTTCTACTTGGGTGCAAGGTTCTCTAGAAAATAAGCCAAGCAGAACTTTACAAAACAAATGAATAACAATGGTTGTATTCAGGGGTGAAATCCAGCAGGTTCTGACAGGTTCTGGACAACTGGAAGCAGAAATTTTGAGCAGTTTGGAGAACCAGTAGCGGAAATTTTGAGTAGTTCGGAGAACCGGCAAATACCACCTCTGGCTGGCCCCATAGTGGGGTGGGTATGGAGATTTTGCAATACCCTTCCCCTGGAGGGGGGTGGGAATGGAGATTTTGCAGTATCCTTCCCCTGCCATGCCCACCAAATCACGCCCACCAAGCCACACCACACCCACCAAGCCATGTCCACAGAATCGGTAGTAAAAAAAAATGGATTTCACCACTGGTTATATTGCATTTTTTTCCTTGAACAAACTCTGGCAGCTTTTTAAAGGAAATTATCATTCTAATATCTTTTGAATGTTTTTTTTAGATCATTTGTAACTAAATTGGGCTTAGAAATATCTTTCTTTTTCCTCCATAGATGTTAAAGCTGCGTAGCCTTTCCAGCAATAGCGCAGAAGATCCTCATTGTCCTTTACAGGACAACTGGCGGCCTCTTCAGCCTCTCAATAACAGGATGATACGATCAACATGTCAATAGATTCTCTACTACAGTTGCCATCTTGAGTCATGAAGATCTAAGGTTTTACACTCATGTTGTATATAGGTGGTTCTTCCTCTGGATCTATGCTGTTGAGCCAAAAAATTTAAGCAATGAAGCAGGACAAGTTATTAAAAGAATATAACTTTGAGAGGAGGGAAAAAGTAATTATAGTAAAACTTTAACTTGTCTATTCATATGCTGTGGACTCTCTCTTCAGATGTCATATACCATATGCCATGATGTTACAGAGACTGAGTAGCATGTATCAAATGTTTCCTTGCTTAGCCTTACTCATTTGGCTGTTCCTGCCAACTGAACTGGCTAAACTGTTTTCTGCAACCTTTTCCATGTGTGGGTTTGCAGCTAACAGACATCTGAGAATTGCAGTTATAATGTGTCAAGGCTTGTTCTTAGCTTCAGGTTCTGGCTTGTGAGTATTGCAAAAAGCCTTTTATCTGATATACTGATAAAAGTTCTGTGATTTGTTTAGCCATTCCCACTGGAAGGAGAAGCCATCAATCCATATCTCTATGTACTTGCTTGCTGAGTTGCTATAATTGCCTCATATTATAGTAATAACCAAACCAGCTGTATGTAATCTTGAAATATTTTTTTCTTTTCCCCTTTCACAATTTATTAAAATGTTCCTAATTTAAAACTGGTCAAATTCCACTACCATTTATACCAGTTGAAATTCTAAAGGTCATAGGGAAAAAAGTAACATCCACATTCTATTCTTATACCAAATTTCCTTGAAAAGCCTGTTGATTTTAGGGAATTTGATATTGAGAAAATATATGCTGTTAAATAATAAAAAAAGAAAATCACCCCAGCATATATTTACAGCATTAATTTATCTTTCTTGAAATATAAATTAAAATGTTCAAATAGAAGATAGAATGAGCTATAGAATTCATATTTTATTCTATAATTGTGTAACTTTATTTCATGCTAATTATGAATATTTTGAACACCTTAGATTTGTTTAATAGGAAGCTAACCTCCGAGAATTGAAAGCAAACTTTTTTCTTGAAAGGGAAAGAAAATATGATGTATTCAGTTTTTAGTTGTGCTGTATTTTGTAGCATCCCAAAAAGTAATATTCTGACCGTATCCTGATTTGATTATTTAGTCATTCATTTTCTGGCAATGCAGATAGTATGTATTATATTCAGAATCTCTGTTATAAATGGGAAGAAATTTCATAGTGCAATGAGATTTTCACAGGCATCTCATTTTAGATTTGAAACCAATTATGAAATGGAAAATATAATAAATCCAGACTTTTCAATGTCAGTATTACATTTTTTTCAAATAAACTTTTATATCTCCCATGTATATATAATTAGTAAATTATAAGCATCAGAGTATTTTCTTCCAATTTTAAAAATTGGTTAATGGATTGTTTCCTTCCAAATTAAAAAAAAAATCAATTTGTATTTGCATTGTATTACTTAACATTTCTAAAACATACATTAAAATCTAAAACATACATTAAAACATCTTTTTAAAGCTACTAGGAAAACAACAGTGTTTGGGGAGAATGTCTAAACTTCTGAGAATTATTAATAAAATATTGGCCTGAGTTGTTTTTCTTTTCCTGCTTTGGGTTTTGCTTTTCAAGAAAAGCATTTCAAACTGTACTGTATGATGGCAATGTACTTGCTTTTGTAAAACAACAAAAATAAATCTACCTTTCAGAACCAACATTTTCAGATTTTTTTTTCTGACCACATACAAAAAGAATGCTTGGTTTTGAAATCTAATTTTAGTGTCCTTCATCAATAGACAATGCACATGGACTATTCTAAAAACAAACAAACAAACAAAAAAACTCTCCCCCAAAATTACAAGGTCACAAAAATTATCCAAACTTGTTTACTTCATTTTACTCTATAGGAAAATTTCATCTTTTTTAGTAAGTTAAATCTTTAAGAAATTGTCTTCTAAATACTGCCTGTCAGATTCCCCCCACAGGTGAGGAAAAATACATTTATCTCTCTATATATGTAAAAGCAAAAACCACTGATGTTGTAATCACGAACTCTCCAAAACCGTAAAGCCTACAAACTTGAAATGTGCCATGTATGTTCCTCTTGGCTTCTAGGTGCTCACTAAGAAAGGATTTTTCGAAATGACCATCAGAGCATTAGTATTTCCTATATTATTATAACATGCTCTGATGCTAATTAGTTAGATGTTCTACTCCCCCTCCCAATTGAAAATAACTCTGGAAAGAATGGGATAACATAGGACAGGCTTCTGTGGGGCAAGCCTGAGGGAGAAAAGGAGCTAGAAAGCCTGAAGGAGAGAAGGGGATACGATAGGGGAGACTTCTCGGGGGCAAGGCTGAGGGAGAGAAGGGGATAGGATAGGGGAGGATTTTGTGGGGCTGCCACAGCCACCCAGTCACATTACCCCCCCCCCCCCAAACACCAATCCATGCCCACAGAACCGGTGGTAACAAATTTTAGATTTCACCACTGCCTTAGTCCTTTAAATTTTCCTCATAGGACTTGATTTCCAGACCTATTATCATCTTGACAACTTCTTCATGTTCTTTTTAAAATGTGGTCCCACTCTATGCTTCTATTCCAGAGTAATCAGGGCACAGTACATTGGAACAATATGCAATGTGGATTCCAAACTTAATACAGACCCATTTTTCATTGGCCTTTAAGCTGCTGCATCTCACAGGCCAACAGATGGCTCTTGTGGTGTTGAGAAACACGTAGCCAGACAGGGAAGAGGGATCAAGTGAAGAATTAGTCTTGAGTCATTGTGTAACCACAAGAGATGCAGGACTCACCTCCTCTCACCCCAAGCTCCATGGAATCTTATCTATCTGTTCCCAAAGGAAAGCAATACAGAAGATTCCTGTATTATGGGCAGAATACAGTAAAGTACTTAGTCTGAACTCTACATATCTGGTATGTGGTAACTTGCACCTGACAGTGGCACATTAGTATGCTTAGAATCTAATCTAATCTAAGCCTTAGATCATTCGTACATACACAGTTATTATACTGTAGGTCTCCCTATTTCTATGCTTATATATTTGATGTAGGACCTTAGCCTTGTCAGAGTGGACTATCATCCTTTGGATATGATTGAATGCTCATGTCTTTTCAATGACATTTTGAATTGAGATATTGTCCTCCATCTTGGTTCCATCTACCAGTTTGATAAGCCCATGTTTTGGCAAAATAACTACTAAAGAAACAAACAACTGGAGCTGGTCCAAATGATTGTTTATTAGCCTAAAGCTAGCATGTTATAGTGAATTACTAAGTCACTTGGACTTGGTCAAGAGCAAGACCCACAAGCAGTGGTGGATTGCTCCTGGTTCTGTCTGGTTCTTGCGAACTGGTAGTAAAAGCGGCACCCACCCTCCCGGATGTCATAATGGATGACCTGCGCACACGCAGAAGCTTCTGCGCGTGTGCTCCCTTTGCAAACCAGTAGTAAAGGTAAGTAGAACCCACCCCTGCCCAAGGTTACATAGATCTTATAAGGAATGTAGTCTGAGCATGTATACACACTATAGAAGATATTAAATAGAGAAAAAATTGCTTTGCAACTGATAAACAAGATAACTCGATAACCAAAGGGAAACATGCTATCTTCAAATGCCAATACAATACAATACAATATAATACAATACAATACAATACACAAAACAAAACAAAACAAAACAAAACAAAACAAAACAAAACAACATTTTCTTCTAGGTTGCATTTTGAGCTTTAGTCCTTCTGGCTCCATTCTACAAGTGTAAGTTATCAGTTTGCATTCATCCATAATGTTTTCTATACATTTTGTTTTTTGCTTCATAGCATCTTGGAGAAATGAATTATTATAATATTATTATTATTATCATAATATAGGCATTCTAAAGCATTTGCCATTTTTCCTTCCATAAAGATAATTTCTTCCATTAATTTAATTTTTTTCTTCTAAAACAGCTAAAACTCAAGGCCCGCGGGCCAGAACTGGATCACAGGGTGCTTAGATCTGGCCTCCCGAGCTCTGTTTTTGCTGACAGAGTGCTTGGGCCACCAGACGTGCCCCCAACATGAGTGACGTTGAGTGACGTTTGACCCAGCTCCCCGAGGTCAAACACAACCCTGATGTGGCCCTCAAAGAAATCAAGTTTGACACTACTGACCTAGGGTATGCTGGCCTTTTTTGCCTGTATTCTTTAAACTGTCCATTTTTAGTCTAAGATATATCACTAAACTTTGAAATCAGTTCTCTTGGTCAGGATTACATCCAAGATAGATGACTTTCATGTTTCTTCTTCTGCCTTCTGAAAAACAAATTTATCACCAGAAAGACCAGGTATCTGTTGAACCGCCTTCTCTTAGCTGAGTCAGAGTGATAGTAACATTTTCTTTCAGAGATGTTCTGGAGAGAATCTTCCAGAAGATATTCTGTATTCTGGAGAGAGTACATTTCCTCAAGCATCTTAATGCACTTAAGGAAAAAACAGATAGGATGATAAACACATTCCTTTGTAATTAAAACTACTACTTGGAAATATCTTTTTCTTGCAAAGATTTCTGTATATTTTATGCTACATATGGCTATTGGGAACTAAACCAGATTGGAGTGCCGTGGGACTACAGTATACTTTTGTAAGACAAAACCAACCAATTCCACGAGATTAGAAGTTTTGATATTTGGTTTACAAGGTGTTTTTTTCCCCAAAGCCTGTTGCCCAAAAAGCAAGGTGTAAATCTATTATCCTCTTCTCAAATAGAAAACATTTAAAAAGCTAATTGTCATGTATTTATTTATCAACTCTCCATTTAAATTAAGCCACAGAAAGCAAGAGCTATGAATCAAGAAAAGCATTTGAGGAATATGATGTGCCCACCCCTAAAACTTAATTAGGATTTTAGTTATTGACTTCTGCAACTGAATTATGCTTTGCTGAATGTTCTTGCTTTTGGAAAAAAGAAATAATAGATATTTGAACAATTTCTGAAACAGCTCTATGTAAAATGCTTTTTTAAATTAACATTTGGAAACAGGCCCATTTATATCAGTACAAAAGTAGTTTAGTACTTACATGAGAATTAGAATTTGTCATATTTCTGGCAACCATTCATCATGGAACATAATTTCAATAATAAGAGTGTTAGTATTATTTCAGTCACTTTAGCTGGAAGAAATAAAACCTCAGCTTCATTCAGTTGTGACCTTTCCAACTTTTACATTTTCACCATGCCTACATCAATAGAAAGCTTCTTAGATTTGGTTAATGATATTTGGCTTAAATATCTTTAATTGGACCAATGAAATGTGTTTTAAAAAACCCATTTTGTAGTGAAGCATGGAGTCTGAATTTAGCCTAGATTTAGTCACCCAATCTTAATAAATGCATTTTATAATTGCCTTTGATAGACATGTGAATTATACATTCAAGTACTAAATTTCTGTACCACACACTGAAATGCATTGATTTTTTTTGACATTCATTTTAAGTTCCGAGTTTTCCTTAAAAGGATACGCGTTTTTAACAAAATTATAAGGTGCTGTAGGAAGTGAAAGTTGCTGTGTCATTTAGCAGTCCTTATACTAAAGATAACGTGGAGGTAATGTGGAAGCTAGATGAGGTCAGTATCCATCAAACAATTAGAAAAGCAATTCAGTTGCACAGCTGTTAAGGTGTACTTTGTTCCATGGCCAGTAGATGGCAGCAAATGACAGGTGTTTGAACAGTACCTTTGCTATGTCTAAGTTGAAAGCAGAAATAGTTTATAGGAAAAGCACTGGAATGGGTAGCACAAGAGATTGTGGATCTAAGACACTTAGGATAGTCCAATAGTAAACGCCCATCCAATGTGGTTTTGAATAATAGAATAGGATTTAGATTATATGGAAGTTAAGATTCAATTAACAAATTATGGAAAAATGTCTCTGCATCTATACATTCAACAGTGCCATAAGCAAATCTATATCTATATACTTTGTTGCAAAAAGCAAATCTATTATAAAATAAGTATACATATAAGATTTACTATCCTGGATCAGATCCAGATCCACAGTCTATTTCAAACAGGATTCAGATGCTTCTGGAAGCTCATAAATTGGATATCGTTATTTTTTGTCTATCCAGAGTAGCATTGGGAAAATTACTTTTATGGGCATAGCCATTACAAAATAATGCCATGTTTAAAAACACTGTAAGTTACATATTTCTCCCTGGAACAAAGAAGTGCTCAGCTGAAACAGTATTTCCTACATGAATATGCAGCATTCCCCCTTCTCTGTCTATGTCCCTCTTTCTTGTTCCTGAAAGTTGATTGGCCCAAATTAGGATGACCAATCATTAAGGCAGGAAAAACTAAAGCAAAAATGTAAAAGAGTTCGCTTTATTTTTACTAGCAGTTCCTTAAGTGATCTCCCAGCAATAGATCTGGCTTAAGGGTTCAGAAAACAATTTCTCACTTAACTATAATGGAAAGAGATATTGATGAAGGAGCTCCTTTGTCAAGTTGGATCTTTCAGAAAGTGTCAGCTACCAAAACACAAGTCTCCAAAAGATCAAACATGCATGGTCTGAATTTGAGCTTAATCTCATTTAGACATTGTTTACCGAAGGACTGAGAGTAAATGATACCCTGCCTTTCCATATTTGTCTCTTGAATTGGTATGACTTATTCATCTTAGAATACTGACAACAATACGTACTGATGTGG